TTTAATTTCAGTTCTTAAACTTATCAATTAATCCTTTTATTTATGTGATAGGCCTGTATTTAAAATAAATATTTATCACAAATTAAATGTATCTTCTATTATTAGATATGTTATTATAAAACATGTTTTAGTTAAGAAATTATTGACACTTCAAGTGTAAAATGATGATATAAAACTTTGATAAAAATATACTTTTAAGTACTAATTATTGGATAATAATTGGGCTTTTTATGATGGATATATTGAAATATTATAGATATTTGTCGATAATTTGGGATTTCATAGTATATGGAAGATTTTATCAAAATTTCAATAAATTCCTATAAAGCTAAGCCTTTTTATAAAAAATAAACACTCTAAAAATAGTAATTATTTACGGGAAAGGTGTATGATTTTATATATATATATATATAATATCTTTATATATCTCTCTCTTCTTTTATTATCAACAAAAAAACATTATAATAGAAGTAAGGATATAAAAGTAGAATATCATTGGAAATTAAGAATCATAACTAATTATTTATAATAACAATTTTATTTTAAGTGAAGCACATAGTTTAATAACAAATTTCTTTCAAATAGCATTATGTTTCATGTAAAGCCCATGTAATGTGAAGCTCATTAATTCAAAAACTAATTTCTTTCAAATAACCTTTTCATTTAAAGTGAAGGCCAACAATTTGACGATAATATTTTTTTTTAAATATCATTCTATTTTTGATTAAGCCCATCAATCTAATGAAGAAATTTCTTTCAAAAAATATTTTTATTTCATGTGAAGCCCATATATTTAATGACAATTTTTCTTTGAAATAACATTTTATTTCAAGTAAAACCCATCAATTCGATAATAAATTTTCTTTCAAATAGCATTTTATCAATAATATATGTTTTGTATTTTTTAAGAGCAGTAACCTCTCGATGTGTTTAGTTTTGATTTTTTAATTGTTTTAAGAGTAGTCTCTCGATGAGACTTGCTTTAATTGTTAATTGTTTTGAGAGTAACTGTCTTTCGACGAGACTTGTTTTGATTGTTTTGAGGGTAATTGTCTTTTGATAAGACTTGTTTTAATTTTTTTATTATTATTTTAAGGGTAATTGCCTCTCGATAAGACTATTTTTCTTTGAAAAAAAAAAATTCTTTCTTGTGTTATTTTCTTTTCTTTGTAAGCTTACTATATAAATTCAAATAAAAATGAATTTTGCAATGGCTTACTATATAATCATATATTATTTTTAATCCTTAATTTTTCTATTTTTATGATTTAAATATAAATAATAAAAAAGAAAGAAATAGAGTGAGAGAGTGAAATAAAAAGAAAGAGAGAACAAAGGACTAAGGTGATCAGGGACTAAAAATAATAATAAGAGATTATGCTTACAAGGAAAAGAAAAATAAATAGGATTATATAAATTTGAAAAATAATTAAAAGAAATCCTACACTTTAAGAAGAGAAGAATTACTTAATTATGAATCCACGGTCAAGAAGAAAATAATACAATTACTTACCATTATTTTTTAAGTTTAGTCTTTTATGTTTTGCAGAGGATCTAAAGTAATATAAATAAAAAAAGAAAACACAAAAAGAAAGGGACACATATAAAGATTAAAGGGGGAAGATTCTTGCAAAGAAAAACCAAAGCAAATAACAAAAATAAAAAGAAAAAACATAAAAAATCTAAAATTTAAAAAACAACTTAGAAATTCTTGTAGCATTGTAGCGACTTGCAAGTGTTTAATCTCTAAGCTCTGGTGGAGGTTACATGTATAGCCGCCATTAACGAGTAGAGGAAGAAGTCTCCAACTCTTTGGTATAAGCCACACGCCTCTTTTATTAACTAGTAAGCTAGAAGAAGCCTCGAAAGAAAACCTATCATTGCGTGCATGAATAATACATGCCAATACTATTATTTTTCAACATTTTGTTTTTGAGTTAAAACCTCTTCGATCAAATCCAATCAATTTCAACGACTTAAAAGAATCAATTTTAATCACATGTAATTTATTTGTTATTTGAAAGTTTGTTGTTATTTATTTTTTATGTTAAATTTTAGAGCACAAAAGTATGTTAATGTGTATGAATAAATTCACACGTGTTCCTAAAATCTTCGTTTGATTATGCTTGTTAATGTAAATTAAATTAGGTGAAATATATGTGTTTATTTATAATGGATATGCTTGGTAAAATAATTAATTTATAGTTGGTTAATATAAATTGAGAAAGGAAACAATTTGAAACTCGAGTCTTCCTTTGTTATTAAATTGAGTAATTTATAGTTGGTTAATATACAAACTTTTTTTTATTGATGTATTTCTTTTTTTATTCTGATGAAAATATTTTTATTTATAAAAAGCATTGTTTTTTATAAGAAAAAATTATTATGATAATAAAAAAAAGTTTCAATCAAAGAATTAAAAAAAACGAATTGATGATTTCAATACATAATAAATAAAAAAACAATTATATGAAACATTCACATTAACAAAGGCTAAGAAAATAGTCATTTAATTTCCATTCAATATCAATAAGAAAATTATTTTAAGATTTCCACATATCACGCTAATATATAATTATCCATAAACTTCTCTAATCTTATTTAAGAAATGACATAATTTTTTAATAGTAGCATGTTTCTTGAATAAAAGGTAGTCACCATTACAACAAAGATTCATGAAAAATTTCGATCATTTTAAATGAGTAGAAAAAATATATATCTTCCAACTAAATCTCATTTTCTTATTATTGTGTCCCTGTATTTTTTTATTTTTAATAATTATTTTTAATCATAAACACTATTTTCTAAACCAAAGCCTAATCAAGATATCAAGAACAAGTTCTAATAAAAAATATTAAAATAATGCCCTAATATTTTGTATACAATTGAAGGCAAAAGAAAATAATAAAAAATAACAAAAAACATTGTATTTTCATGAACAATTTTTTTTTAAAACTTTTACTTGCATATTAGGTATATAATAATTAAAAAATAAATTTTAACATTCCCATAAAAATATTTAATTTATAGAGAATTTAATTCAAAACCTTAAATATATATATATATATATATATATATATATATATAGAAAAAAAACACCATAAAAAAAACTAAGAGCATGAGCTACGAGATTGAGCAAGTATACTTGGTTTTAAAAACAAGATTGGGGTGAGTTGGCTTGCAAGGTTAATTTCTTTATGTTTAAACGGTGGATGATATCTCCAATTATTCATTATTTCTTAAAATAAATAACATATTATCTATAATAATATATGTTGTGTTGTCTTCTAGTTCAGTTTTTTATCAAAATAAAAGTGTCTAGAAAGTTAAGTTAAATATTTTTGAACACAAACACAATTTTTTCTGACCTATATACATCTAAAAACTCACAAAGAAGCTTGTAAACCAATTTCTAATCCCAAAAAGGCACCTTAAAAATGTTAAGAAACACAAAATTAATTAATTAAATACAAACTTTTTTTAACTTCAATTTACTTTTTTTAATAGGATGAAAATCTTAAAACACTTTTGATAAGAACTGAATGACATTAAAATTAATTTTTTTGATGGTTAGAATAATAGAATACTTTTGATTTTTTTGGTAGTCAAAATATAATTAATTGATCACGTTCTTTTTTCTTTTTAATTTTTTTAATAATTTTTTTAAAAAGAATTTCAAAGATAAAAATGCAAAATAAATGGAGTTAAGATTAAAACATGAAAAGCGGCTTGCAAGGCTAACCCCTGCATTGGACCCATTTTATTTTATTTTATGTTTAAAGGTAGGTAACATGTTCCTTTTTTTTAAAAAAAAAATAACATATCATCTACAATGATATATATTTCGTTGTTTTCTAGTTTAGTTTTCTATTAAAATAAAGGTTTTTAGAAAATAAAGTGAAATTTTTTTGGACAAAAAACATATTTTTTTCTGGTCTATATACACCTACAAACCCACTAAGAAGCTTGTAAACCATTTTCTAATCCTAAAAAGCACCCTAAAAATGTCAAGAAACATAAAATTAATCAAATAAGTAAATATTTTTTTTTAACTTTAATCTATATTTTCTAATATGATGAAAATTTAAAAACACTCCAAAAACATTTCTCTTTTTAATAGAAACTAAATGATACTATGATTGATTTTTGTAATGGTTAGAATATAATTAATCAAACACTCTATATTTTTAATGGCTTTTCTTTCTTTTAAATTTCAAGGATTAAAATGCAAAACAAATGGAGTTAAGATTAAAACATGAAAAGCTCAAAAGACATATAAAAAAGATGAAAAAGTGAAAATTCAAGAACCAAAATGTACATGAACAATAAGACATACGTGCCCAGCAATTAAAAAAGAAAGAAAGAAAGATGCCTTTTTATTCCTATGTTAAAGTTGGCCCTATTTTGTTTTGAAATGGTATTAAAATTCAATTAAGTAAAATTAAGCGTCAACCTTAAAAAAGAAAGACATATTTTGAAACTAAAAATACTAACTAGAACATAAATAAAAAGGAACTATCACGATTTAAATCATGCAAGAATGATGAAATAAAAATAATAATACTTTGAGGACCAAAATGAACAATCAATTAAGGAATTATCACGGTTGCAGTCCATACTCCACAGCGCGCCTGAGTTCCCATCAATGGTGAAATATAATGGATTCTAGAAAGTAAGAAGGTAAAATTATGATAAAGAAGAGTAAAGGGACCAAAATAAGAAAACTTGATAAAAGCAGGACCAATTCCACCTTTAGCCCATCTGCAGGCTGCACCATCAAATTTTGCATTAAAACACCTCCATTATTTATCCTTGCAGCCACTCCCAGATCTACCTCCGGGCACACGCCACCGCGAACACAAAACAATCCATTAAAATGAGATCCCTAAACTACCGAGCTCCAGCGATGGAGCACACAAGCGCGACCTTGAAATACAAGCGTAAGCATCCTTTTCATAAAAAACGACAATACCATCACAGAAAGAAGCAAAAATCAGTCTCCAAAATTGAGAAAACCCTAACCCTTAAACCTCATAACTCAAATCAAAACCCAGTCTCTTTATCAAATAGATTCCAATCAATTCAGCGCAAGAAAAGTCATAATTACGACAGTAATTTTGAATATAACCGCAAGTGGACCTTCTCTTGTCATGATTCCCCAGCTTATGAAGGTATTGATTTTATATATCAGGATTAGACAGATACTTACCTTTTTATTTAATGTTTTTATGTTTTTAATTCTGCAGATAGAGTAGTGTTTGTTTCATACAATATATTAGGTGTTGAAAATGCATCAAAGCATCCGGATTTATATTTCAAAATTCCGTCGGAATTCATGGAATGGGAACGGCGAAAAGAGCTTATATGTAAGGAGATGCATCACTACAATGCAGGGATACTCTGTTTTCAGGCAGGTCGAACTTCACTTGTCTTTTTTTATCTTATTAATTAGCAATGCTTGTTAGTAATTTTGATGATCTAGTTTTCCTGCTGCAGGAAGTCGATCGTTTTGATGATTTAGATGATCGTCTACAGAAGGATGGGTTTAGAGGTGTTTACAAGGTATATATTGAAATAGCCATTCCCAACTTCGTATTGTTTGTTAAGTTCTATTAAAGTGGTTCTATTGATTACCTTTACTTTAGGCTCGAACGGGCGAAGCATGTGATGGGTGTGCTGTATTTTGGAAAGATAAATTGTAAGGGCTTCTAAGGCTGATCATGTTTTAAGTTTGGAATATATATAAGCTTGTTGTTTGAGCTATTAGTTTGCTTTGACAGATTACATTGTCCTTGGTCATTAGCTGAACTTATCTTTCTTGTGTCTAGTGATGAGAATTATGATTTTTTTTGTACATTAAATTTTGTCGTACTCAATATCCAATGGAAGTGTGGCACAATTTGAATTACTTTAGTTGAGATTATAATTTTGCTCTACCATGAGAACGCATGTTTACATTTTCATAAGTTTGAGATCCTACCACCATGTTGCTTTAGAATGGAGGCTACAGATTTGCTTGTAGTCAAGAAAATGTACCTGTTCGTTTCCTTATTTTTCATGTTTGTTTTGTATATACAACATTTAGCAAGTCTTATTCTCCTTACAGATTCACCCTCTTGCATGAAGAACATATTGAGTTCCAGAGTTTTGGCCTTCGAAATAATGTTGCTCAATTTTGTGTTTTAAAGGTATGCAAAGGGTTGGTTTTTCATAAATGCTTCCTCCTCCTCCTCCTCCTCCTTTGGTTTTAGATGCACGTGTAACTAGTTTTTTTTTTTTTTATTTCGATCGCTACAGTAAATGCTTCTTCCTCCTCCTCCTCCTTTGGTTTTAGATGCATTACAGCTTTGGTTTTAGATGCATTTAAGACTTGAGTTTTATTTGTGCTTATGTTGGTAAAAGTTATGGAAATATGATAACTTGGCTCTTTTTAAGAAAGCTCCTCTTGGTGATTTGGATTGTCAAAGATTGCAAGGTCTATGATGGTACAACTACAATTGCATGAATTGTGACCTCTGTGCAAGCATCATTTAAAGCATTACAATTTTAAATAAAATTTTGGATGGAATAACTCAATGAAATGCATAGAGAAATAGAAGACATTTTGATGATTTCGTTAATATGATCTATGGGTTTATGTCTTGAAGCGGGACAAAGAGAGATTTAAGAGAAATAAAATAAAAGAAAAAGAAAAGCTTAGAACTAGAAGGAGAGGACTGAAGAAAAGAGGAAAAATAATGGTCGGAAAACCAAAAGTCTATAATGATCTTTATCAATTCATCATAATCTTTGAAACATTTAGAAAAACAATATACAAATAGTAGAACACTAAAACAACCAACAATTAGGCTCATAGCCCACTAAATAAAATTGTTCAACAAAATAACATAAACCAAGCATAATAATAAACCTTGCCTCAAAAATTTAGTTGAAGATTGAAGCAACTCTTGATTTAAATAAGTGCTCCAAATTTGTTCCCAAAATCAATTCTATTCCATTCCTAGAAAAGATTATCATATGATCTATTTCAAGTCCAAACTTGCTTTATGTTGTGTGCAAACTTCAACTATCAAACACTTAATGTTTCAATGTCAATACTTGCCCAAATAATAGGTATATTTGTATCCTTATATGTTGCTTAAATTCAACCTCAAATCAACCTTCAAACTAGCCCAAGCACAATCCATGATCTTACATATCCACACAACAAATAACATTTGATTTATTTTGGGTAATCCATTGATCTAAGAGGGCAAGCACATGGATGGAAAGCTGGAGGGGACATTATTACATTATTTTGGATAAAAAAAAGAAAGAGACAACTCATAAAGAAGGAAGAAAAACATGCTCTAAAGTGTTCTCCAAGCCGGCCTGATTTGATTTTCCAGAATACCTTTCGGTGTTGTGCCCATAACTTTTGACTCAGATGTTCAAATGAGCTATTTTTTAATGATCTGGAAAGCTAACAAAGTGACCTATCAATATGTCTCTAATAGCCATCTACAAAAGAGGCTTCTAAAAGGGTCGAATTGCTATCTAAAATTAGCGGTATATTTGTGTTAGAATTTTTACCGAAATTGTGCTGTGTTCTTCTTTGTAAAATTCAGTTCTTTAGTTTGTAAAACTTATTATTTCAGTTTGATTCAAGTTATTTTATGTTTATTAAAGTGTTTTTATAAATAATCATGGTTGGGTGATCTTTTTTTTGATCCAAATAAAGGATGATGGTGATTGAGGTCAGTTTTTTAAGATCTGAATGAATCTTTATTTTTATCTTCTCATTTTCTTCATAAATATTTTATTATTGCAAATAAATTTTAGAAATCATTTAGGTAATGTTATAATCTTGAATTTTTATGCACAATCCTTAATTTTGGTATAGAAATTGATTGATTTAATGTCTTACCTAATATGAAAGTACTCATTTATTCTTAAGTAATAATTTATCTTCATCTTTTTAAACTTCATTTTAATATATTCTAATCTAATATCAACTTAAAAAGATGAAAATTGATTATTGCTTAAGAATAAATAAGTACATTTCCATTCTTAGGATTTTCTACTTCAAAGACATTATGCTCAGAGATGGATTTAATCACAAATGGACCAATCCATTTTGTCCTCAACTTCTCAGGAAAGAGATGTAATCGTAAATTATACAAGAAAACCTTTTAACCAACATGAAATGATTTTCTAAGAATATATTTATCATGCAAAGTTTTCATCTTACGTTTTGAAATTTTTGCATTTTCAAATGCATCATCTTTTTAAGCAATAATCAATCAAACCTATCATGAAAGAGTACTCGTTCATTCTTAAGTAGTAATCAATCTTCATCTGTTTAAGTTGATATTAGGTTGGAAGATATTATAATGAAGTTTAAAAAGATGAAGACTAATTATTGCTTAAGAATGAACGAGTATTTTCATATTAAGTAAGACATTGAATCAAACAATCTCTATAGCAAAATTAAGGTTTGTGCATAAAAATTCAAGATTGTAACATTACCTAAATGATTTCTAAATTTTTTTTGTAATAATAAAATATTCATGAAGAAAATGAGAAGAGAAACATTAAGATTCATTCATATCTTAAAAAACTCATCTCAATCACCATCATCCTTGATTTGAATAAAAAAGAGAGATTAGCCAACCATGATTATATATAAGAACACTTTAATAAATATAAAATAACTTAAATCAAACTGAAATAATAAGTTTTACAAACTAAAAAACTGAAATCTATAAAGAAGAACACAACACATTTTTGTTAAAAATTCTAACACAAATATGATGTTAACTTTGGACAACAATTCGACCCTCCTAGGTTTGTGCATAAAAATTAAGGTTATAACATTACCTAAATGAATTCTAAAAACATTCATGAAGAAAATGAGATAATAAATATTAAGATTTATTCGTATCTTAAAAAACTTACCTTAATCACCATCATTCTTGATTTGGATCTAAAAAAGAGTAGCCAACCATGATTATATATAAGAACACTCTAATAAAAATGAAATAACTTGAATCAAACTGAAATAATAAGTTTTACAAACTAAAGAATTGAAATCTACATAAAAAACACAACAATTTCGTTAAAAATTCTAACATAAATATGATACTAACTTTGGATACCAATTCAACTGTCTTAGAAGTCTCTTTTGGAGATGGCTATTAGAGGCACATTTATAAGCCATTGTGTTAGCTTTCCAGATCATTAAAGAATAACTCATTTGGACATCTGAGTCAAAAGTTAAGGGCACAACACCGAAAGGTGTTCTGGAAAATCAAATTAGGCCGACTTGGAGAACACTTTGGTGCGTGCTTTTCTTCCTTCTTTATGAGTTGTTTTTTTTTTCTTTTTGACCCAAAATAATGTAACAATATCCCCTCCAGCTTTCTATCTATGTGCTTGCCCTCTTAGCTCAATGGATTACCTAAAATAAATCAAATGTTATTTGTGGTGTGGATAAGTAAAATCATGGATTATGCTTGAGCTGATTTGGAGGCTGATTTAAGTATCATATAAGGATACAAGTGTACCTATTATTTGGGCTAGTATTGACATTGAAACTTTGAGTATTTGATGGTTGAAGTTTGCACACAATATAAGACAAGTTTGAGCTTGAAATAGATCATATGATAATTTTTTATAGGATTGAAATATAATTGATTTTGAAGCAAATTTGGAGCACTTATTTGAACCAAGATTTACTTCAATCTTCAACTAAATTTCTTTTCAATTCTTTGTTCCGAATTCCGACGTTAAATTTTTTGAAATAATTCATTTAAGCTCCAAAAGCCTATCAATACATTAAAAGAAACTTCATTACTAAAAAGCCATCAATTATTATAAAAAACCCAAATAAAAACAATAAATACACATGTAAAATAAGAAACTTAATGATATTTTTGATACACAATCAATACCCCACTGAATAAAATTGTCCAACAAAATAACATAAACTAAGCCTAATAATAAACCCATATAAAATTTGATGGTAGGTTAATGACATAAAATATTTGATTCAACCATTTCTAACATTTTAGATGGTTTAGCATTGCTTGTCTATAATTTTTTACTAGTTTCAAGAGTATGCACCGTTTAGGTTTATCATGAAAAAATCTTTAATATTAAATACATCATGAAACTTATATAAATCAGCTTGAAATTTGTATTGTTCATTAGTTTCTTGAATTTGTTTTATAATCTTGATATGAAAATCATGAAATCTACATACAAAATACTTAGATATTCAGATTAAGAAGACATGGGAAGAAAATCTACAAGAGTGTGACCATGAACACTTTATGATTGGGAATGTGGGGAATGGAACAAGCATTTTTTGAATCCTGAGTGAACATAGATTGAACACATCCTAGTGAATTGAGGCCATCCTTGTCTTTCTTATCATGAACAAAAGGTAAGGATTCAGAGAGCTTTGTAAGTTATTCAAAATTTATGATATGTTGGATTTCATGCAAGGCATTAGGGAGCTTAGGAGGTTGCTCAAAATATTTGACATGCTCGAGATTAAGTGTAAAGGGCATGTAATTAGGGAGCTTAGGAGGACAACTATTTGAAACTCTTCCAATGACACAACTACTTCAAGTGGTTTCACTAAAGAGTTTCTTTAAACTTCCTCTATCATTAAGGTAGATACACCATATTCCTTTTAATTTCTTTCTCAAACTCATTCATCAAGTCCTTTTTCCTTCAACTTCTCTCTCTCTCTTTTTTTTTTGTTCCTGCCGTTAGGTCTTGATGGTAATCTAATGAGCTAGATCTTTATACCCTTAAAAAGTGAAAGAATATGAATTTGACCAAATCATATAGTCATGACCTACCCAAAATAAAATAAAACAATGTTATGGAATTCAACAATAAATTAAAAAGAGAATTTGGCAGTTCTTTCTCATTCCTCTCTCTTCCATACTGATTTGATCCAGACTAAAAGTCTACCGAGGGAGACTTTGCTGAAGAATGCGCAAATGCAAAGTTCGTTGTCATTAAATCATTCAAGAGTAAAACATCTAGAAGAGCATTAGATATAGTGTGTGGACAAGCTCATTAAATCATTCATGAGTATAACATCCACAAGAGCATTAGATATAGTGTGTGGACAGGCTCATTAAATCATTCGTGGGTATAACATCTGCAAGAGCATTAGATATATTGTGTGGACAAGCACACCTAACGAGAATAAGAAGCTGGATGCTGCATATAAAGAGGCCAAAGAGAATGCTAGGGTTGTCCTGTATTGCTGTTATTCTCTTTCAACACCAGTGGATGTTGGAGGGCTGCTAGTGTACTGTTGGTGTGCTGTTGGACTAGTTTGTTGATGATTATCTCTGACGTTTGAAGAGAGCGATTGGGTTTTATGGTGGTTTCTCTTTGGGATTGTTGTGTTCTACAAGTATTAGGTTCTGTAGTGGTTTGGAGGTCGATTTGGATAAGGGTTTAATAGAATCTTGTGGTGGTAATTCAGTGGTGTTTTGGTGGTTTGTAGTGGTTAAGATTGTCAGCTGGTGATGGGTCACTGTTGGTGTGGTTGTTCAGGCTAGTGGCGGTTGTCTAGGCTGGTGGCAGAGTTGTTTGGTTATTTGGTGTTATGTGAAGGTATGGTTTTTGGGCTAAAGTTGGGAGTGGTTGTGGCCATTATGGTTTGTTTTCTGATGGATGTGGTGGGTGGGTTCAACTATAGGTGGGCAAGGTGGCTAGTGGAGCTGCCGGTGGTGCGTGGGGATCTTTTGTTGATTTCCAATGCAAACAGGAAAATTGTTCTGATTTTGTTCTCCTGATTGTAAACAAAAAGGCAAAAGAAACACACTTTTCTTTTTTTGACACCTTTTTTTAGATCACTTACGATGAGAGCTTCCTATAAATTTTAGGGTTTAGGAGCTGTGATTGAATTTTTTGGTGATTGTGATGGATCGTTTAGCTACAACTAAAAAAACTGTGCTCTGCTATCAAAGCTGATGTGAGACAAAAGAGATTTAAAAGAAATAAAATAAAAGAAGAAGAAAAAATTAGAAATAGAAGAAAGGGGTTGAAGAAGAAAAAGAATGGAAATGGGGGTCGGAAAAACCAAGTATGCAACTTTTTTTATCAATTCATCATTATCTCTGTAACATATAGAAAAGGAATATATAAATTGTAAAACCGTAAAATAACCAACAATTGAGCTCATAGACCACCAAATAAAATTGTCCAACAAAATAACAAACTAAGCCTAATAATAAACCCAAGTAAAATCCAATAACTTAGGGTTGGGCAATCTTCCATCATCTTCAATTTTGCGCATGTGTGAACTGTCTCGGATCTAGAGTCCCCACCATGTCTCTTTTATGTTATTTCTTCCACTTTGCATCCCTTGATTTTATATATCATGGCTGTAAGAGAGAAATTTTGTTGTTGGGAGGCATATTCAATATTTACAGGCTTCTTGGCAATGGTTAAACTTATTTTGGTTTCATTGGTTCCAATTCCTGAAATATGCAGATGAATGAAAATCAATCAGAGACTGGCTTGCGTACAGAAGCATCAAAGTAAGTTTCAAATACATTATGCTCCATTGTTTAGTGTGTAAAAACTACTGGGCATATATGAAATGTGAATTAATGAACGGCTCCTATATAACCCAAAAATATGCTGGGATTTTCTAAATTGTCACATATAATCTTTATGCTTCTTATAAGGTGTTCAAGAAACAATTTGACATTAACAAACACTTTCTCTACTAGTAATATTCTGGGTTTTCATTTTGCTGGATATACTTGTATTCTTCACTCATTAAAGCTTATGCTCTTTATATTGGAGTGTGTGTTTCTTGTGCTTCCAATTTAATATTTATTGTGGAAACATCATCTTAATGATCTTGCACGTTGGGGTGCTGTTGTTTGCATGAAAGAGGATAAGAATTTGGCTTCCTTTTTAAGTTGGTGGTTCTCATTTAAACTCGTCTTAATCAGTTGTTATTCTTGAAATCATATGACTAAGTTGATCACTTACATGTCACCACATATATAGGATAATATCCCCAAAAAGGCGAAGCTTAGTGGTTGGAAATATACATGTACTCTTCAACCCAAACCGTGGAGATATCAAGCTAGGTCAGGTATTCAATGCTCCTCTCCCCCCTTATGAAGAAACCAAGAGCATCTCACAGTTTGAAGATTATATACCTCTCTGCATGTATTCTCCGTGCACAGGATGGTGTTATCTTTTTTATTTCCCATTGGGACTATTGGAAGCTTGACACATGATATCTTAATATGTATTGACCCCTCCATGATATAGGTTCGAATATTTCTTGAAAAAGCATACAAATTATCACAAGAATGGGGCAACATACCTATTATAATTGGTGGGGATCTAAATAGCTTACCACAGGTGAGGTTGTGCAACCTAATTATTATTTTGACCGTTATCCTATACCATGTAAACCTCAGTGCGAACTTCTAACTTCAGTATTGTTTTTGTCTGATGATCAGAGTGCTATTTATCAGTTTCTCACTGCTTCTGAGGTCAGTTTTGTTATTGTACTGCATCAAGGTCATCGTTTTTTTCTTCATTTGTATTTCAACTTGGATGCCGAAGTACCCCATAGTTGTAACTTCTTTTGCTACGTGCTGCATGAATTTTGGCAGTTGGAAATCCTGCTACATGACCGTAGGAATATTTCTGGGCAGCTTGAATGTCCACCACAGCAGAAAGACTTGAGATCCCGGGATGAAAATGTGGCGAGGTTAAAAATATTTGGAAATTATGCGGTTTTGGATGTCATTTAAACTTGTAGATTCAGATCCCATGGATGCAAATTTGTTTTATCTTTAATTATCATCTTATTTTGAAATATTGATCACTGAAAGAGTAATGGCTCATTTAACTTACTGGTGTACGGTGCCTTGAATATTTCTCAAGGTCATTGATTTATAGATGGAGTGATGAAGAATTAAGACTAGCAACTGGTAATGAAGAACTCACACATCTTCAACACGAATTAAAACTCTATAGTGCATATCTTGGGGTTCCGGTAAGCTTTTAGATCTCTTTTTTCCCCCTTCCTTTTATTCTTGCATTCTTGTTATATACTCATTTGCTACTTTCTCAGGAACATCATTGTTAACTTAGTGTCATTACTTTGCTGTAACCTTATTAAATTCGGGTTTTGGGAGAGAGTTTGGAGGTAGTCCTGCCTTCAGTATTTTCCAATGAAATGAAGTGGCTGTCTATATTTGAACTTGCTTTCTTGTAGATTGAAGTCCAAAATTTTTACCACTACACCAAGCATTGGCCATCTGTAGTAGCTATTTTCTATAAAGAAATAAATATAGGTGAAAAAAAAGTTGTTCTTCTAATATAACTTGGTTACATTCTTTAGGGGAGCCGTGGCTTGAGAGACAACCGAGGAGAACCCTTGGCAACTTCGTACCACTCCAAGTTTATGGGAACTGTTGATTACATCTGGTAATCTGATCACATAATATAAACATGCAGAATACACAGCCTGCATCTGCAATTTTTTGTCCTGATTTCAATTTTTTCACAGGCATACAAAGGGACTTATTCCTGTGAGAGTTCTTGAAACCTTACCAATTAATATTTTGAGAAGAAGTGCAGGGCTTCCAAATGAGGTACTTTTAATTTTCAAATGCAACTTTGATCTGTTGCTTTCTGTTGAAATAAAGCAGCCAATCATTCAGTTAGTCAGACATGATATCTTTGATCCGCTACACAATTATCATTGGTGTCCCTATAGTTATTTTATATGCACTCTATTGGCTTGTTAGTCTCAAATTTATCTTACTGCATTTTGAATCTGTGTGCTTAATTCTCCCTCATCTTGCAGAAATGGGGCAGTGATCATCTTGCTCTTGTATGCGAACTGGCTTTTGCAAATGATGGAACTATTGTCTGATTCTTTTTTTCCAAATTTAAATCCCTAATGAGGGAGTTAAACATCGACTCCTTCAAGCACTCGATATTATGTCAAAACAGCTTGGAGTTCCATATATTTTGTGGGACAAGGTTCATCATCTTCAATGAAGCAAGGTGAAGATATTTGAGAGTGCAGTTGTTATTTTATTTAGAATTATATTAATTTTTTTTATTTTTAAAAAATAATTTTTGATATTAACATATTTTAATATATATTAAAAAAAAAAATTCAAGAAGCACCAGCTTTAAACACAGACGAGTCACTGTGGGTGCCCCCGAACTTCGTTGGTAAAGTTCTAAAAGACGTTCCAAGAAAAGTAGCCCGCATGGATTGGATCCCAGAATACTTTTGGGTCTTTTTCAATGTTTTAATTGTCTGGGTCTTGGCCATGCGATCTAATTTTGGCATAAGTTGGCACCAAGTACAGACGTGGACATGCTGATCGGCTGTTGTTTTGCCTGTGGAGTGCGTTATTGGGAGAAGACTAGCGAAGCCCATAACCTATTAACGAGGTTGATTATGATTCTGCACCGACATTTTTAATTAAAGGACAGTAATCAAACAATTAGTAAAAGCATGGAGAAAAAAGTCAATAGATGTTTTGTTTTGTTTGATTTAATGATTCGTATAAGAGGTTGTAAATGCTGTTATATAATTTGTACACTATCCTCACTGAAGTGCCATATTATACACGCGATGGAGGCAGTGGATTTCTTTCTTTTTTTTAATCAACTAAGTTTATTTATTTTGATGAAGTTATTTTGTTGCATAGTTGATGGTCAATTGTATTTTATTGGTTAACCGACAGTAAAATTAAAAAGACGATAGGATGGAAAAGGCACGCAAAAAACAGTGTGGTTTCAATTGTCTGTATAATTTAGTCCTTCAATTTCTCAAATGATCACTTTTTGGTCCTTGGGTTTTTTAAGATTCAATTTTAATGAAAAACATTATTTTTCATTATTTTCTATTACCTAGTTTGGCATAGGAGAGAGAGAGAGAGAGAGACTTATTGGATTGTTGATTGATAATGATTCTAGTCATCTAAATGGTTGCTTTTAGTATCAATGAGTTTTATTCGATAAAAGGAGTTTGTTTTGAGATGGTAGATTTAAGCTCAAGAAGTTTTTTCCTTTTGTTTTGGGTTGTTTTTGGGTGTTAAAAAAGGAGTTTGTTTTGAGATGGTAGATTTAAGCTCAAGAAGTTTTTTCCTTTTGTTTTGGGTTGTTTTTGGGTGTTAAAAAAGGAGTTTGTTTTGAGATGGTAGATTTAAGCTCAAGAAGTTTTTTCCTTTTGTTTTGGGTTGTTTTTGGGTGTTAAAAAAGGAGTTTGTTTTGAGATGGTAGATTTAAGCTCAAGAAGTTTTTTCCTTTTGTTTTGGGTTGTTTTTGGGTGTTAAACTGATTTTTTGGCTGTTTGAGGCTATAAATGAATTTATTAAGGTTTTATAGTGTTTTGGATAAAAAATGGATTAAAAATTATAATTTTGAGAAAAAAAAGAAGCTATTGCTCCGATTTTCCAGTAACTTTAGAGGTGAAAATTTTTATTTATTCAGTTTTTGTTAAAAAAACCAACCAAATTTTTTTGAGAGCTTTCTCAACATAATAAGATAGATAATACCTATCCATTATATGTTCTAATATAACATCGTAATACTTAAGTCTTTCATGTCAAACTTGTTTAGTTAATATTTTCTTTATAGACTTGATTATGTGATTATTACTGCTTAAAATAAGCATATCTTTCATATACAATGACATAACCATTATCTTTGTTTTTCACGTAAACATATTTATCAATTTTGTTAATTTTAAATTTATTTGACAACTTAACCTCGTTAAATTTTTCATGTTATTGTTTAGGTGTTTGTTTCAAATGATATAATGATTTTACAAGTTCATAGTTTTGACAATAAACCCTTTGTGTTGTTCTATGTAAACCTCCTTATAAATGTCATTATTTTAAAAAGATTACTTTTACATTCATTTAATGTATTTCAAGTTTATTAATAGCTACAATGCCTATTAATGTTCGTATAAAAGTTATTCTTGACATAAATGAATACATGCCAAAATCTTTCACACCTTGTTATTTAAAACCTTTAACAACAAGTATAACTTTATATCTATCAATAGTACTATCAACTTTCATTTTTTTTTTTTTAAATCCACTTATAGCATAATGATTTATTTCTAAGAGAAAGACTCATTAGTTTCCATGTATGATTATTCATAATTAATTCAATTTCACTACTAACTGTCTATTCCAACAAGAAGTTTTTGGATAGGACATTACCTTAGAGTAGGTTCGATGTTCATTTTCTAATAAGTATGTTAAAAAATCAGGAAATGTTTTGGTCATTTTTTTTCTATTTCTGAGCTTAACATCATCATTTTTTAATTAATGATGATTACTTGAGGTAGCTTCAATTGTTCTATTAAGTGAACAATTTTCTCATGTTTCCTTTCATAAAAACAAATCCTCAAATAATATAGCATTTTTTAATTTCATAATAGTATTAGGATGAATATCCTTCATACTTGACTTATGTACAAAAAATCAACAAGTACTCCTATTGTATGCATATTCAATAAATCCACAATCCATAGTCTTAGGTCTTATTTTGACCTTTTTATGATTAGGTATTGCTACATTAGAAAGACAAAGATTATGGGCTCATGAATCTGATATTTTAAATTTATTATGGGCTCGCGTGCCTAAGTAAATTCTTATAGGGGAATCCATGTAGGTGCTTTGACAGGGTTCATTTATCTTGAAAGGTGAAAGTGTTTCCTACAACTTGTATATCATAGTGAAAAATATTTATAATTAAAATTTTTAAATATCTAAAAATACTCCATAACACTACTTGCCAAGCATTCTAAATCTCATCTCCATACTTGTAAGCATAAATATAGACCAAATAACAATAAAAAACACTCAAGTAGGCCATACATACTCCACTTTTAGATTAGAAAGTACAGCTTCAAGCTCCTAAAATAGCTACTACCCTTTTTGCTTTCTTTGGTCAAGTATTGCTTCCACAAGCTTGATTCCTTTTCAGAGCTCAAGGAATCCTTATTCTAGGATCTTAAATTTTCATACTTATAGTTTCTTTATCGACATTTTTTCCTCTTTCTCTTTATGCTCTGATTTTTCAAGAGGTATTTATAGAGTTTCAAGCTAGGATTTAATAAAAAATTGATCCTCTTTCATCAAAATATGGCCTTCTAATCAAAATGAGAGAGTTTTTTGGTATGCTTTATAGTTGTGAGCTCTGTACTTATATTAATTTTACAATGATGGTTTTGCAACAAACTTAGCTTTCGAGATTTTGGTTGTTTTTTCAAACTTGGAGACTGAGAAGATTGTTTCTAATCTTTTGATCTTGAAAGAAATGTTGCTACACCTTGATAAGAACTCACAAATAAGGCTCGAAGTGTGAACACATGAAAACAATTAATAGTTTTGAAAAATAGGTATCACGACCATTGATGACCGAGTTATCCATTTTTAAAGCTTTGTCAAAGTAACTTCGATGTAAATATCCTCGGAGACCACTTGATCTTGATAGAGTAGAAGCATACCTTTCATTTGGATTCATCCTTGCTCAATTTAGAGGTTTGTAGCTTTATATTTATTCGTTTAAAAGTGCCAACTTGATTAGTTTAAAATTTAAAAATACAATGATGGCTTATTAGAGACAAGATTTTGTTAACCTCATTGAAGAAAATAGGATGTAAAATTTTGATGAGAGTAACTAATCATTATAAAATGCTTTTTTTTTTAATTTAATGGTGATGGTTAAAACCATAAAGGTGGTTAAAAATGCTATATTCATTTGCTTGAAAATGCCTACTCAATTAGTCAACATTGTCGAAAAAGAAGATAAACAGTGGCTGAACGATGTGTCATCTAGGCTAAACCCTATAAATTTGGGTTTTTAATCTGGGATTTGAAAATTTTCACTTTAACTTCTTTTCTTCCCATTGCTTTTAATTGCACCAGTAATTACTTCCTAAACTCTTAATTTTGTGCAATTTCACCTTGCCAAATTCAATCATTAGCAGTGCCATTTTCATCTTAATCCTTATTTTTTGATTTGTGCATTTGAACCCTTAATTAACTATCAGACTTTCACTTTTCTTCAATTTTAGTCCTTACAATCATACAATTTTTTTTTTTTAGTTTGGTTCCTAGTTTTGAATTCCTTCAATTAAATTTCTAATTGATACGAACCTCTTGATCATGTGGTCAAATAAACCATAGAAAAGATGACACAACTCTCAAAATATATAATGCATATAGACCTTTAAATTTTGATAAGTTTTATTTCATGGATGGTTACTAGTTCAAAGAGAATCGATTTTGTGTTCCTGCTAGTTCTTTGCATGAATTGCTTGTTTGTGAAACATATAAGGATGGTTTAATAGATCATTTTAGGGTTGCAAAAACTTTGGATATATTGCATGAACATTTCTATTGGCCAAATATGAAAAATGATGTGCAACAAATCTATGAACAATGCATTGCTTGTAGAAAGACATAATCTAAAGTACAACTATATGGACTGCATACACCATTTCCTATACCCACTAAACGTTGGGTAGATATCTCTATTGATTTTATTTTAGGTTTACCTAAGTAAAAAAAAGTAGAGGCTTTTGTTATGGTTAATAGATTTTCTAAATGATGCATTTCATTGCATTCCATAAAATCGATGATGCATTTCATATCACCAACTTGTTCTTTAGAGAGATTATATGTTTGCATGGTATTCCTAGGAGTATAGTTTTAGATCAAAATGTTAAGTTCCTTAACTACTTTTAAAAGAATTTATAGGAAAAGTTGGAAAATAATCTCTTATTGTTGATAACTTGTCATCCTTAAACAAATAAGTAAACTAAGATAGTGAATAGAACTCTATCCCAACTTTTACATGTCATTATTCAAAAGAATCTGAAAAGTTAGGAAGAATGCTTTTCTTTTGTTGAGTTTGCCTATAATAGAATTGTGCATTTGACTACTGACTTTTTTCATTTTAAAATTGTTTATGGGTTTAATCCATTAACACTTATGGACTTAATTTATTTTTCTTGAAAAAAAAAAAGTTT